TGAGCAACAGAGTGCCTGTTTCGACGATAAATTCCACAACTATTATAAAATTCGGAAACGAAAAAGAAGAGACTAAACGTACTTTTTTTCTGTCCGAACTATGTAACTGCTGAACGACAACTATCCAACTGAAACGACCAATTCAAATATTAATTAGTTCAGACTTAAATTCGAGCATGCATCGTCTTGTTCGGCCGTCCCAATGGACGGCGTTAATATAAATGACCAAGCGTTCGCCGGAACATCCTCCCCCTCCAACAGGACTATGTCTGTTCGTTTCGTCCTCTTTATATGTCTAACGGACACAACTTTGTGATTGGTCGCACATAATCTTTACCTCCTGCTCTAATGCGTGCAACTCTGACCATCCCGTCAGGGCCGGGAAAAACCTCTTGAGTTCGACCGAAAGGCCAATGCACTCGTGGGTTGCCGGGATCCACCATCAGAACCACATCACCAGGAGCAATGTTGCGTTTCCCCTCAACTTATTTGCTTCGAGTGCTCAGGGTCGACGGGTATTCCTTCATCAATCTAGCCGATCTTCTCCAACAATTAGTGATGAGATCTTGTGTAAACCGCCATCGATTTTTGGGGTTGAATGTGATACCATCGATGACCCTGGGTGCTAGTTGTCCACCCATTTGGCCATAAAAGAAATGGTTCGGTGTTAAATCATGCTAGTCGTTGGAGTCGCTGCTACAATAACTGAGCGGGCGGGATTCAAACCGACCATCGCGGTTTATTCGTAGTTCTAGACTCTCCAAGGATTGCGCGTAAAGTTTTCTTAGCAGACTTGATAGGGACTTCGAAACTTCCTCCATAATGCGATCCAACAGGGGGGCTAAATCGCCACTGGATTCCGTCATGAGCTACCTGTTCTTTGATCCGAGTTTGATCTAAAGACGAGACTGGGTCACCCAATTCTCTTTCAGCTGATGTGAAGTTCGTGACATTGTCACTAATCATCATCTCCGGTTTTCCGCGTCTGGCGACCATTCTGGAAAACGCGCTAAGAAAGCTGGCTGTATTCAGGGAGTAAGCTATTTCAAGATGAACTACTCGTGTGCTTGCACAGGTAAACAGGCACATATAACGCTTTGCAGTCACCTTCCTCGTCAGCTTAAGGACAAAGTGGCCAGCGCAGCAAAATCGACTCCACAATGAGCAAAACATCGTAATGATGTGCTAAGTCTGGCTTCAGGTAGAGGTGCCATGATTTGTTCACCTCTGCGTTTTCTTCAAAGTTTACAGACATTACACTCTCGTTTCCATCGTTTAATTTCTTCTCTCCCATTGACAGTCCAGTACTTCTGTCGTAGTTCAGCAAGCGTAAAGTTCATTCCGAGGTTATGATGACCTTGATTATGGATGCGGGCGATGACAAGTTTTGAGAAGTGATGTTTCTTATATCGATAAATGATGTACTATCAAGAGATGGATCAATTCCACATAACCACAAACATGCACTTTTTATTTACAATCTTGAACCTTCATATATGAGTGGATCACATTGGGTTGCTACATATATGAGAGATAATATAATCAATTACTTTGACGGTTTTGGAATGCCGCCATTTCAAGAAATTGTCAAACACGCTAAAAAAAATTAAAACTTGAGAATATTTCATCAAAATAATCATATTCAAAATATAAATACAACAACTTATGGATAATTCTGTTTATAGCAGAGCTCGCAGCGCGCGAAGCGCGCGCAGCGTAGCCCCATAATTATATGAAATAGTAGTAACCTATCATAACCCATCAAGCCGAAAAAATTTGGACTTACGACCGTACGACCGCACGACCGACCGTACAAGGTGCTACTTTTGGCATGCGCGGCCAAAAGTACCACGGGCACTATCTGAGCCATTAGGTAATGGAAGGGCGAGGGAGAAGGATAATATACCCTATTAGTGTGCGTCAGGAGACATCGGCAGATGACAATGAAGTGCGCATTCTCGAGTGTCGAACTTCAGTGTAGCTTACCGCGGGCACAAGGTTAGCCATTGCACGAGGGCTTCACGTGGGCTAGTAGATGTGAAGCCGTGTAAGCAAATTATTTGCAATCCACGTTTTTGGCGGGAAATCAAACTGGTGAGGTTGAAGTTGAAGAGTAATTCTCAGTATTTTGCAATTCTAATCAACTCGCAAAGCAACAATACCGGAAGAGCTAAACCTTTGTCAATGGGAGGAAATTGTTATAATTGAAATTTGTAGAGAGAAGGCTTTGAGTGAAAATAGAATGAAAAGAAAGAGATTGAGCGATCAAAAAAGGCAAGAAGTAAGAGACGTAAAGCGAGTCGAGAAAAACGCGTAAGAAAGTTAGAGAGGACTCCAAAATAGGCAGAATACGGCGAAAGGAACGCGAAAGAGAACAAGAAAAGACATAAGGAAAAAGGCGAGTATCTAGCAAAGAGCAATGCGAGAAAGAAACACAAAGACTACTTAACTACATGTCGGACAAATTTTCAACTCGAGCCACTATTCACAGCAGGTAGACAAGATATAGAAAAAGCCTTAATATTCCACATTGTAGAATCACTGCTGGCCAACGCGCCTTTTATTACCTTGGCGTGAAAATATGGAATAACTTAAGCAAAGACCTAAGGGAAATAACAAATACTAAAGCTTTTAGGAGACATTTAATCGAAGAACTGATTTGCGACGTAATCTAGACTAGATGATAATTATTTTATATAGTTATCATTGAGTTATCCTTGTAGATAGTTTCTACATAGTTTTTATCAATTAATGTTGTAATTAATTCATTCATTTAGTTATTCTTGTAGATAGTTTTTATATGGTTTTTTATCAATTAGTGATGTAATTAACTTATTCATTTATTTATTTAATTTTATTTTTAATATTGATGCCAAAAAGCCCTTTTTAGGGATGCTCAATAAAGTGTATATATGTATGTTTGTATGTAAAGACGCTCCTGAATACAGACTGAGAAGAGGTCATCAACAAAGAGAAGCGAACTACAAAGGATCCAAGAAAGAGGAGGAGGTAAGTCGAGTCTTATCTGGGTTCTCTCTAATGCAATCGTCGTTTGATACTAGCCTCAGTTTATAATTTAAAGTCACGTTTCGGTAAAACAATTAATTTTGGTCTTCATCGCCTAGATCCCTCGCACCGGTTCATCGCTCGAATAACATTTCATAGTGTTCGTATTCTTCAAGGTATTTGTCCTGTCGATTGGAATATCTTCTACAGTCGTGGTGTTGATGAAAAAGAAGTCATCTTACGGATTTTGTTTTACCTAGAAAGCTTTCAAATGATAACGAACGGCGAGCGCGTTTCTATCTCTTTCTCTCTTCAATCAACTATTGCAGGATTTACTCTATTCATTTAAAAAAATCGCGCTTTGTCGAAGAAGTGTTGTTTTAGCCTGAGAACGAGGTAGTGGCCTTTCCCAAAATTGAAATAAAATGAGATTGAGTCAGCAATCTCCGTGTTTGCATTTAGTCTGACGCGGTTATTTGATTTTGACAATATTGTCCCGTGAGAAGGTCCGTGTGGGTCCGTGTGTCCTTCGTCCATTCAATTTTCGTTTAAAATCAATAATTGAAAATTGATGTCAATTTTTTATTTCCGTTATTTTTTGTCATAAAAATCAATTGCAATCAATTTCCAATTTTTGTTTTTCGGCCAAAACATTCAAAATCGTTGACAGAACTACCCAAGAGGGAGGGAGAGGGGTCCATTCGCACGGTAATGCTCCAATACGAAGTCAAAGATGTTTTTCACTTCCTAGCTAATGTCTGGCTGCTCGCTGTAATGGACAGAACTGAAGAAGACGTTCCAAAACGTCGAAAAAGACCGCGGAGACAGTTGAACTCTCACTCCCTTCCCAAACCCCTTAAGCAAGAAAACAGACCTGGCCATGGGGAGAGGGCGCTGAGGGCAAAAATTACTCCCTCTTAAAATTACCCCCTCTTACCCCCCCCCCCCCCCCCTCCCTCTTGGGTAGTTCAGCCAACGATTTGAATGTTTTGGCCGAAAAACAATTTTCAGTTTTTGTTTCTCGCCATCAAACATCCCACAGATAGCTGAACAACATATAGGGCAATTAGTCATTTGTTAACTTATAGTGGCTCTCTTACCGGCTCTCAAGCAAGTTCTTCTAGGCCACCACTTTTCGGTAATGCAAGAAGAAAGGTGGCACTCATTGCGAAGATTATTCCTGCGGAAATAACACACAAGAATGTGAAGGGACCTACTACGTTCCAAGAACTAGTGGCAGATATATTTTGGAAGAAACCGCTAATGTGATTTACGGTCAGTCCAAGGCGAGAGTTACGTTTTATAACGATTCATCTCTATAATTGGTGATCACACTTGAACAAGAAATGTTGATATTTTCATTTTATTTCATTTTGATATTTTCAGATTTATTGAAATCGAGATAACCCTCTCTTGGTTCCCGTCTCATAGTTTTAAATCGTTCCTCATTGACAATTAAATTTTATTTAGCTAAGAAATTTAGGCCATCGCGTGGAGGGATTGAGAAGGGCTAGAACCAGATCACTCAGTCGAAAGACAGGAAGATACGCAATTCAAAATCCGAACTAAATAGAACAAAAATTCGTTCATGTATATGTTGCTTCTTCTGTTTTCTTATTAAAGAAAAAAGTCCCTGTTTTGCATCAGAGTTTCTATTTTGCCAACCGAGAATTCAGAAACCGAACATGCAAGTTTTTGTGAATTCGGATCGATTACTGAAATAATCTGTTCTATTTCGCTCTGCTTCCTACCCGAATTATGTTCGTCAACTGAGCAGTTGGCCGAACTTGAATGGAACAAGAATGGAACTGTTGTAAGCAGGACCGCTAGGAAATTTTTCAGGCGAACTTCATTATTTTATTTCATCAGTAAACAATGGTGTATGCACAATAATTACCTAAGTATCATTACAGCGTTAAGGGTTGAATTTCATAGAAAGAAAAATAAACATCCAATTTACTACGATAGCATTCAAGTTCAAAACAGTGATTAGCTCATGGAACTGGTGCAACTAAATCTTCAGTTCCAGGCTTACAAAACTGCCTTATTTCTCGATGCAAATAATTTCTGCGTTCGTCACTTAATCCTTCTGGATTAATCTTCTGCGGAAGGACTGAAACTGGTGGGATTACAGCACCATCCTTAAGTAACACACACGCTTGTTCCGGAGATGTCAAATATTCTCGGCAGTAAACGACACTTGGTTCATCCTTGGAAAATCTGAAGTGATGGTATTTTTTTATGTTCGTGATTTTTTTGAAATATTGTCCCAGAAAAGTACACCAGTCATATACAGGCACTATGACTCGGCCATCGTGCGTCGATACTAGTTGGGCTTTGTTCACTCCTGTGTTACTTGAGGTTTCCACCACTCGAGCAAGTTCATAAATCGACGAAACGAAACTGACCTTGTACGACTTTTTCAGGATTCGCGCGCCACAGAAAGCAGAGGTTAAATGCGAGTCCGCGGCATATCAAATCTCCACAAAAGAAACAATAACAAAAATTCTACAGCTAGTGTGACAAAAGATCAGTGACGGAAAAAAAATCGCAAGTCAAATCGCTGTGGGCGTACCCTACCGTAGTTAGAGCAAGAGAATTGTGAATTGACGCATTCATACGCAAATGATCAAAACATTGAAAATCCTTCTATTCAATTTGGTGTGTATAAAAGGGTGTTCACTATATTACGGCTTACAACAAGCGAAACGGTTTTATCTTAGTCTACGTACGTGTCGCAAACTCGGTAAACATGTCTCTCAGGCAACTATGCAAAGAAACTAGTAAACGGCCGTCAAAAGTGTTATTGTATTTTCCACAAGAAAGGACTACTGGTATCGCCCCTTCAAGGTTGATTTTGGGTAAAAGCTTAGAATACAAAGAAGGGAGCATGGTGACAGTCAACTGGGAGGGCAAGAAGATACAAGCAGAGATTATAGCTATGGGTGGTAAGTCTTACAACCTTTCCTTTTGATAATTCTTCGCTGTTCAGTCATTTTTTTCATGGGCTCTTCACACATCTGCACTTATTACTGCGCGAACTTACCCTCATTGTGTCCTTGGTTACAGATAACGAAGAGATTCTCAATCAAAAAGACACTGAGTGGTCATCCAAGTTCATTTCTGGAACTGAACCCGATCCAATTTCCAATCAGTCCAAACTACCAGTCGAAAAACAGGAAGAAAGCCAGCAGCCACGGAAAACTCAAGTCAATTCAAGTATTCATAAGGTTGGTCGTGTTGATTTGGAAAGAAAAATTCCACTTGTTAACGACACCATGTAATTGTCCATTAAGTAATAGAGAACTTGGGCTGAATCAAATCGAATTATATTTCACGCATAGAATTGATTTGAGCTGTGTAGGGAGTTATAGTCGTTTCATCAACGTTCAGCTCGCAGACTACATTACACGTATTTTGAACTGTTACGTAAACTTAATGTGGTACGTAATAAAACTTGAGTGCGAGACGGTTACATTCTCATCAGAAGATTCAGAACGTAACAAGTGCATGCTGAAATTTGTACTGAATTGAAATTTAACATTATACCGGTTACGTTTGTGAGGCATTCATGACAGTTGAAATTACTCCTTCCGAGGTTGATAGTAGTCCGAGTCAATTGTATGAATCTGAGTCGTCATAAAACGCCTACGATATTTTGTTTTTCGGGGGTCTTACATTTGGTATTTCGTTGTGTTTATGAAGATGCTTTTATTCCTAGGAAAGATCAGTGACTTGTGGGGATCCATATAGTGCGTTTCTGGCTGAGCAGAAAAAGAGAGAGGTTGAATGGGCTACTAATCGAGCCAACAAGAAAGCGAAATGCACGGCGACCACAGAAAAAGATTTGGAGGCCGTAAACCAGCAGTTAGCCGCCAAGGAGGCTGAATGTAAAACCCTGAAGGGACAACTCGACAACATTCAGCTTGCCAATGTCTCTGTTGTGGAAGCTGTGCATAACAAAGTACAGGAAAGCGTCTGCAAGGTAAGCACATTGATCAATGTTAATCTGAATTTTCAAAACTGGATGAAGAAACATTACAAGAATACCATTGTCTCATTTTCTACTTTAAAGATGTCAATATAACTAAGGTTATGATTGCGAATTGCATGTAAGTGTTATTTTGATAGGTTCTTCCAATTTCCCTTATCACACCAAAATTTTAGAATTATTTTTAACTGGTGGCGAGTAAGCAGGCTTAAGTGTTAGTATCTTATAAGTACCTATGGAACTAACACAAATTACATTTCTACAGATGATGGAGACATTACAGGACACACTGTCTGCAATAGAGGATAACATGTCCCTTAGACTAAACAAGATTTAGCAACGTCTGGATTCATTAGAGAAAGTGGTAAGTAGTTGCTTTTTTTTATATAATTTGCGTAAGCTTTTCGTAAAATGGACTTGTTAGGAAAACCGCACTAGGATACTGAGCATCTTTGAACCGGAACCGGAAATAGACCCTGTTTAGTGTCGTTGGTCCGAAACTAACGAGTGAATATCCCTACTTTCTAGTTCAGTGATCCAGGAGTAAATTGTGGCCCAGTTCCTCAGACCGGTAACTTGCAAACCATCGACCACGAGGCTTTGGCATTCCTCAGCGATGATCCGATGGAAGTGTTCGAACCAGTGCCTTCAACTCCACCAGCACCAACTACTCCGCAAACACCGGCACTCCAGCCATCAACCCTCGAGGACGACATAGTCGGTGAAGATGTCATACGATCGTTGGTGACGCCCAGCAAATCGAAAGGGGTGCGAGACGTCTTGGAAAAGGAAAAAGAGAGGCACCGGTGCGCTCTGAAACTTTTGCCTTTCTTCTATACCTCGGAAGAGCTGAGTAACAGCAACACTGACGGCACCCACAATAAACAGCAACTAGATGTTACGAAACTTCAGGCGTTGAAGGTGCTAGTATTTAGCCGTTTTCCAATTGAATCTGCCACGGAGAAAGAAAAAGTGTGGAAATCCATCAAAAGTAAAATTAACTCGAAGTGTCGCCTTAGCAAACATGTACATAAGCTTGCTCGTTCCTCGTAATGTAAATAAAGTTGAACTGACCTTATGTTGTCTGGCATCTATCGGGGTGTGTTTCAGCCGCAGTGAACTGGGTTGGTATATTTCGCAGACCCCCAGTCGATGGACTGCTAAATCGGCTACTCTCTTTCTGTTTATATCATCTTGATTCATCTTTCTTGGTTTTATTGACAATCATTTTAACGGCCCCGCTTGGTGCGTGACACCGATTCGACCTTTTATTTGCAATTGAACTTCATTGCGTTATTTGACCTTGAAACGTCTCGGCTTCAGACAAGGTGGCGGCATTGCATATGCAAATTTGTTTCGCGAAACTTCCGAACAGGAAAAAATGACGTTCATTTTCAATAATAATAAGAATAAACAAAGGAGAAGATTATGAGTCTCTCGCGGTAGCCGCTCAGGATATTCGGCAGCGAAACTATTCTCAGTAAATTACGCTTATTTCATGAATGTCACACGAAAGCGGCAGTTATTGACCCAGAAATAAAATGCGCAAGTATATGCTAGTTATTACTTTTCAAATTATCATGCTCAATATTTTCGCTTTAAAGGATAATTATCCGTTGTCACTCTGAAAGTTTTTCCGCAGAAGATCTCGCCGGCTCATCGTTTGTCGATTTTGGTCAACCGTTTCTCGGTTTAAGCTATCCGTTTTTGGACTTCGGTCAACTGTTTAACGTTTCGGGCTGACCGTTTTTATTTTTGGTCAACCGTTTAACAGTGTGAGCAATCATTTGAAAGGTCTGAAATTTTTTGAATCGTCACATTTGAAAAGATGACACGAGATGATCCAACAACCAAAACAGCTTGTTTTAACAGCTCACCAAAAACGGTCCTCAATGTGTTTGATTTGGAAGATGATTTAAAAAGTTCCAGCGAAGAGATAAACAATAAGATAGCTATTTGGATTTCTGAAGGATCTGTTTGGACAATCAAATCTGTTAATTGTCTTTGGATAAACATTGTACATTCCACTTCCAACTGAACTCACATTCTACAAAGGAATTGATCAACATCAAAAACAAAGAAAATGAAAATTGTTTCAGGTGGTGCCACATCCGATTTTTCATCCACAAGGGAAGGATACTCAAATAATTAAAGATGATAGAAATTATATGAATAAGTTTGATTATTCTGACATTAAATTTCCAGTATCTATCAAACAGTACAACAAAATTGAAAAGCAGAAAATCATCAATGTCAGTGTACTTGGCTATGAAAAAAAACAATTCTTTCCCATCTATGTGTCAAAAGAACATTTCACAAATGTATTGAATCTCTTATTGATAACAAAAAGTGAGAAAAAGCATCATGTCCTCATAAAAGATTTTAATTCTCTAATGTATAATAAGACAGAACACAAAGCAAGAAAATACTTCTGCATGTTTACAATCTTTCAAAACTGCAGACATACTCAACAAACATAAGAGACAACACAACACAAAATCAATCATACACAGAAGCATGTCAGAAACACTTAGATTGGGAATATGGATGTAAAGTCGTTTGTTGTTATAATGATAGATTTAGCAAACCTGTGCAGATATACAGAGGAGGAAATGTTGTTTATAAATTCATGGAAATGATGTTTGGAGAATTGAAAATTCTAAACAAACAGCCAAGAGGCATTTCAAAAAACCGTTGAAAAGGTCCGAAGAAGATGAGAAACATTTCAAGCAAGCAGAAGAAGGTCATATTTCTAGGAGATTATACACAGAGAAAGACACAAGAGTAAGAGATCGTTGCCATATTACAGAAAAATATAGAAGATCTGCACATCAAGATTATAATGTTAATTATTTCCAATTCAAATTTGAAGATATGAAGATATCTGTTATTTTCCATAATCCACGAAGTTATGACTGCCATTTTGTTCTGTAAGAGATTGGTCAAAGAGGTAATAAATACACATTAAGAACAAGAAAGAAGAAGACAAACAGATGACATTCCAAAGAACATGGAGAAATACATGGCCTTTATGTGGAAATGCCTTTGGTTTTCCTCGATAGTTTCCAATTCATGAGCTTAAGTCTAGATTGATTAGCAAGTGATCTTCCTCATGAAGCATTCAAATACACATCAGAAGCTTTCAAAGATGATAAATTCAAACTTATGAAAAAGAAAGGTGTTTATCCTTACGATTACATGGGCAGTTTTACAAAGTTTGATGAAAAAAATTCCTGAAAAAAAAGGTTTCTACAGCATTCTTCAAGATAAACACATATCTGATGAGCAGTACAAGCATGCTGGAAGTGTGGAATACATTCAATCTTAATACAATGCGTGAATATCACGATCTGCATTTGAAGTCACATATTCTTCTGCTTGCTGATGTCTTTGAAAATTTTAGAAAGACCTGTTTATCATATTCCAAACTTAATCCATGTCATTATTTCACAAGTCCAGGATTGTCATAGGATACTATTTTTAAGATGACTGATGTTACATTCACTGAAAAAGGAATGTGAGATAGTATTTCATATATTGCCGACAGATATATGCAAGAGCAAACAACAAGTACATGAACAGCCACAATACTGAAGAACCATCAAAAGATAACATGTACCTGGATGCCAACAATCTTTATGGGTGGGACATGAGTCAATATCTTCCAACTGGTGGTTTTAAATGGTTATGTGAAAGTGAGATAAATACTACAAACTAAGGCAAATACATAGAAGAAAGAAAGAAGGGGTTGGTTTTAGAGGTTGATCTTGATTATCCACAAGAGTTGCATGAAAGCCATAATGATTACCCACTAGCTGCTGAAAAAATCTGCGTTTCTCCAAGCATGCTATCCAATTATTGTGAAAGAGTGACAGAAATACAATATAAAGAACATTACAAACTAAAGGGAGTTAATGTGAAACTGATCACTAATGAAAAAATGGTATTGAAATACGGTTCAAAACCAACAGTAGTAAATACTAAAATCTTCAACAGCAATCTTGTAGCAATTCTCAAAACAAAAGAAGCAATCACATTAAAAACACTCGCATACGTGGGCATGACTATTCTCCATTTGTCAAAAACACTTAGTATGATTTTCATTACAATTATATTAAGAAAACGTAGAATGACAAAGAAAAATTACTATTCAAAGGCACTGACAGTTTAACATACAGATGACGTTTATAACGGCTTTTGGGCCAATAAAAATAAATTCGATAACAGTAAATAGCCTCAAAATTCACAATTTTTTAATAAAACAACATAAAAAATTATCTGTAAATTTAAGGATGAAGTTTGTGGTGAACTAATATGACCTAAAAATGACCTAAGACGACCTACAATGACTTAAAATGACCTTGAGTGATTCCTATAATGGCCTTGAGTGATTTCTAAAATGTCACAAAACGACCTAAAATGACTTTGAGTTTACGGCGCCCACAAAATCTGGATCTGACTTGATCAGACCGGATAGGACCAGATCGGACCGGATCGGATCACGGATCGGATCACGGACCGGATCACGGATCGGATCACAGATCATGGATCGGATCATGTAAAATAAGATTTTTGTGCGACATGAAAAGATAGAGCGTAGGCCGCTCTGCGTGTTTATTTTTTTTCCCAAAAACCCCACACAGTCACTTTCACGGCTGTGTCAAGGAGTGTTGTGTAGTGCCACTATAGACGAAGGTAAGCGAGAGGTATATATCATTTCATCAGTCAGTTAAAAAAAACGGTTGCTTCTTAAGGTCCCTGAGCTTCTTCCGTTGCTGGCGCGTGAGGCACGTAGGAAGCCATAGTTCGCAAACTGATCGACCTAGGTGCTCTACATTGCAAGGTCAAAGTCTCAGGTGCCATTTGAGTCGCGTGATCTCCTACGAACCCCTACGGTATTCAACCAACAAAAAGTTATTTTAGCGACATTTGGTCTGTCACGCATTCCTCTCAATATCATTTGCGTTTTGCGGCTGTTCGAGATCAGTGCAAGCGCTTAATTGCGGCTCAGATCGAAGACAAACCAGAAAAAACTTGGGAAACCCGTTTGAATTTTTGACGGAAGCTAAACCACGTAAAATCTTCGAACCGAAATAAACTGTCCGATCCGATCCGGTCCAATCCGATCCAAATTTTGCCCGAGCCGCATTGTTCCAGTAATTAGATAACGGCGTAATATGTGACTAACACAGTCCATAGACTGTACAATTTTACGCCACTACCTGCATCAGTGTACATAATGTAAGATTTTGAGCCAAAAACTAACGGTGTAATTTCTTTCAGTCGGTGATATATATAATATCAATTTTACGCCAGTAGTATAATTTAGTTATATATTAATTTATTATAATTAATCTACCGGCGCAGGTAGTGGCGTAAAATCTTACAGTATAAAAACTGTTAGTCACATATTATGCCTTTATATGAGCGCATTTTATGGTGATGTGACATGGTAGCATCAAACATCTTTTTTTTAATATACTATGGCCATATTATGAGCGCATTTCATATTGGCAAGACATGATTATATCGAACATCTTCCAGTAGAATAGTACTCGGGTGGTTGACGCGCAGTTTTTTTTTTGAAACTGTGTTCCCATCCCCAACTACTATACCACTTGACGTCTATCCAGATGTGTTTGCAAGTGCTTTTTTAGGAGACGAAATCACCAATCAGCCTTGTGAAGTTCCTTACACGCCACACGTGAACATCTTCGCACCCTACCACTTTCTATATGTACCTCTGCGTAATTTTTACATCGCCAAAATCGCTGAAATTAAAGAGAAAGACCGCTGTCCTGTCAAATTTTCAGTGAACGACGTCACCCGAATCCTATTGCATTTCACGTTACGAGTTAGTCAGGATTTTACGTCATGTTACCCAGTCATGGAAGTTTAAGCGAATGATCAATCGACCAGTTTCAAAATACGATTTCCTTTTTCTTTACATTTGGATGGAACGTGGGTAGTGGGTTTGAATAGTGTGATACTTCCCGACACTTTTCTGGACATGAGAAATACTTACACAATCGAACTGTCTGTCAACGACAGGGGTGACAACATCATGGTGTCCACGACTAATACCTCGATTTTGACAATGGAACTAGCTTACCAGGAAGTTTCTACTGGATCCTTGTATTTTTCCGACACAGCCGTGAGTTTTGATGGTATGAAAGACCAAAATTACGGATGGTGTGAGTTTCATGAAGACCCTTGTGAACAAGTACAATGAAATTTTATTGCATATCAGGAGTAAAAAGAACACTGTTATCACGTACCTGGATACTTCTACTAGTACCAGTCTGTTCACGGTATTTCGAATGTCAAGGAGAGGAATTGGTGGTGAGTGACCAGCACAGCTTCAACGTTTTGACCATGTTTACTCTTAATTATCCCCGAACATTCATGAGTTGGAAACTCGAATTGCCCTTGAACATGGGATGGATACGCTCGAGTGTGGATAAGGATGGTAATAAGACCCTACGTCAACGGACCCAGTCCTCAAGCAAAAGTTTACATCAAAATCACAGTGAGTGATGTACCCAAAGATTTCAAATGCAAATCCCCTTCGCACAAGACTTCATCCAGCCTCCACAGATGCATTAAAACGATACTTTTTGGTCTACGAAGGAGAAAAACGTCTTTATCTCTGTACAACTGGAGATTTTTAGAAATCTACAAAGCGTTTGAGAAAATGGTGGGAAAAACGTCACAGAGTGTTTTTGTTTACTCAGATGCCGTACGAAGTGGAATCGTGGGAAATCAAATCAGCGATGTACTGCAAGGGATTAAATAAGAATGCATGGGACGAGGATTCAATGCTTGTGAACTGTTACGCATATCGTACTTACCTATTTGCAGTAACACCTTATAGTGATTTACCTAAATTTTCTAAGGGAAACACGATCGTGACATTACATTTTAAACGTCCATCATGAAAGGAGGAGACCTGAGAAGATTCAGACCTGGCGGTTATTAGACACAGAAGTGGATTGAGAGATGTATTGAAAGATATCAAGAACGAAACTGTTCAAGGAGGAATACAGGCTCTCTAAAGAAAGCTCTTATCCAAAAAAGACCATAAAATTCCATCAGTGGTGCCAAACAAGGATTCAAGAGAGAATTAAAAAAAGGATCGAAAAGCGAATTAAAACGACAATTGGCCAAACGACTCAAAGGATTTTGTGGTGCGTAATGAGTGTATTCTAGAAATTTGTCTCTAGTAAGTTAGAGAAGAAGTGTGGGAGTCGGTAGACAAAAGGTGGAACTTTTGCTTTGATAAATGTGGCTAGACGTGCTTTGATGGACGTAGCCCAAAAGGGGAAGAAAAAGAATCTTCGACACAGAATTGAAAGGTGAATTGAATTGGCAATTGGTGCGGAATGAGTCGCATTGGACCCATGTATTCTAGAAAATTGTCTTTAGTAAGTTAAAGTAGAGGAGAGTCGGTAGACAAAACGGTGGAACTTTCACTTTAATAAATGTGATTAGACGTGCTTGGATGGAAGCAGCCCAAGAGAAGAAAAAAATAAAAGAAACATCGACACAGAGTATTTAAGAGAGAAAGAATCTTATAATCGTCACAAGTCATGCTTGGCTTTCAACCCGGACTGATGAAGTGGTTGACCCAACAAACTGCCCAAAGAAAACGAAGCCATGATAGAAGTGAATCCAGCCTACACGGGTTCTGAATCTGTGGTAAATGGGAAATTAGAATTATTCAGAATCCCGCCTACAGACGTCAGCGCATCTTTCGACCGGATGGTTCCCATTTAACCGGTACCACATCCATCGACTTTCAAGTGGATGCCTATAGTGATTTTGTAGATTTTAATCGAAGACATTTTTGAAATGGAACTAGAACTGACCGTTAAAAATGTAAGAAACTTGACCAAGACAACTGATAATGCGATGAACATGATTGCACCCGTCAATAATTTTGCCCATTGCCTTTTCAAACAGATTAATAAGAGACTGAATGGGACCTTGATCAGCAATCAAACGGATACATTTCATTACAAAGCTTATCTGCAGGCATTGTCGAATTACAACCGACAAGAAGGAGAAACAATCTCGAATTCTTACGGATTGTACAATGCTATCGATTTCAAAATCTTCACTGTCACTGATATTGTGAGAGGAACTGCAGATCAACAGCACCAACGTTCCAAAGACCTGTCCTAAATTCACGAGGAGTCAATGGCCATTCAATAACACACTTTCAACAAAGATAATAAGATAGTCATGTATCCTTCTACGAGATCCAAGATCCGCACCTGGTCTTTCCGAGCTGAAGGGAGGGTCCCAGAAATCCCGAACATGTTCAATGATAGAATTCCCAATTTTCCAGCTTTTTGTCTAGTGTGCACAACTGCTTTCAATGGAAGTTACGCAACGATTCATTCTGTTTTACAAAAGATTGCGTGACTAGTTTTATACAGAACGTCCAATGACGTTCCACAAGATCCACAGGATATTTGATCAAAAGCGAACCCAATATGGTCAGACCCACACGTTGGGGACATCATTTGGAAGGTGTGGCTGTTAAGGATGGTAAGAAGAAGAAGACGATGGAAAAGATCATATTGAATAGCGTGCAATTAGATTTTTTAGCTCGACACGATCACGTGTTGTGTCCGCATTTTGCGGTACCGTAACATGCGACAAATGACCTCGTCATCCACAAAAAGATAGATGTGTGGGATACATCGTTAATACGGATCCGCTCAATAAACCTGGAAAGCATTGGTTGGGTCTTTGGACGGATGGGAACGTGAACGAAATCATAGACAGCTATGCGTTACTTTTATAAGTCTACGGAACCACACGACCTTTGATCGAATAGATGAACATACATTGGAAATTTCTCGTACGAAACTCACGGAGTCTATAATCCCTTTTACAATCAAAGTTGTGGCGATTACACCTTGGTGTATTTGGGTCATAGAGCGAAAGGAAAAGACTTGTCAGACTTTTTTAAACATTTTTCTAAACACGACTAAGTATAGAATTATCATAAGGCAGGTGAAATGCTAAAAAGGTTAATCGAAGAAGAGATTTCACAAGAAGAATGGCATGTAACTTCTAAGAAAGGAGGTCATCAAACGACATGTCACATGCGTTGAAAGAAATAAAGAAGTTGATTTACATATAGTTAGTTTGTGGATGGCTGGGTAGCTCAGTAGAAAGAGCGTCGGACTTATAATACAAAAAACATAAGTACGAATCCTATTCCGGCAAATCTTTGACCATATCCTCTATAAATAAGAAAATACTTTTAGAGGGTATGGTATATGTCTTTTGATCCTCATCACGGAAAGAGTCGAGACGTTTCAATTCAAAAATCCATCAAGTATCGTGATCGCAGGTCCCTCGGGATGTGCTAAGACCTGTTTTACAGAATCGTTATTTTCTCATTACCATCAAGAATTATTTGTGAACCCACCGTTAGAGATCGTGTACTGTTACGGTGCCTGGCAGGATAAATTCACTAGATGAAAAAAGGCGGAGTGAAAATTTCACGAAGGAGGTCCAGAATTATCACAATTGGAAACATGGTTCCCTCGAGAGGGTGTCTTGGTACTGGACGATTTGATGACCGAAGAAGGAAACGATAAAGAGGTCTTGGATCTTTTTTACCAAACATTCTCATGACAGAAACATTACGTTACTTTATCTATGTCAAGAAGTGTTTCCACCTGGAAAATTTGCTAAGAGCATCTCTTGAAATACCCATTACATATTGGCATTCAAGAATCCTCGAGAACAGTTGGGAATGCGAAATTTGTTATTGCAATCGTATCATCAAGAATGGCAGCACGTGATGGAGGTGTATCGTTGAGAGACCAAGAGACCTTTCGGTTACTTGACTTTGGATTGTCGTCAGGCCAATCGAGATATATTTCGGATCGTCAGTAGATTATTAAAGGAGGAAGGTTGCATGAAATGTTTCGTTTCACCTATCACAATAAATAAAATTTAAAAATGTATTTTCAAGCTGCAGGAGCTCGACAAACTTTGCTAAAATTCCATGGTCAAAGCGTGCATGACTTAATCCATGCATATTTGTGGTTACGTCCTTTCTCATTTAAGATCAATATATGAAGAGGTGACTATTCTGAAAACCACTTCAGCGTTTTTGTTAAGGCGAGGAATCCATAAATTCATTAAAACGTGCCTCAAAATTATAAATTAAGAAGGAAGATCTTCTGTGTAACATTATGCTAAACTGTCTCAGGCGGACTGTAAAAAACATGTTGACAAAATTCCATCCAGTTAGTCCAGACCAGCCTTATGCTGTAAAAGAAATTAAAGTGCTTTGGTTAACGGATTAAGAAGGGCTAATCCAAAAAATGTCATGACGAAGACAACTTCGTGTTTACCTGACCTACAAGAATGCTGATTTCAGTCATGTCACGCGGCAATACTTTTGACATTTAGAATGTCACGGACCCATTTTCAATAACATCGAACACGTGAACACCGATTCAGTACAGTTATCGAAAGAAATGGTTGACGTCAAAAGTGATACTTTTCCATCGTTGTGGTAATTTATACTAAAATTTACCTTCTTATGTACCGAAAACTGTAACTTTGTTTAAGACATAGCTACCAAAGATGTCGATTACCGGCAAGCACCTTATAATGCCATGTTTTTCAGCGGTACAGCAAAGTAGTAAACAAAAAATGGTATACAAGAACAGTACAAATTTAGTGGCTGCTTAAAGTTTTATGAATTAAGATTTCCCTTATCGTTTTGACCATCACCTTCAGGCAGTTTAATTTCTGGATATGTTTATTTGCATTTTTACTGGGATACCTGTGGTAGCCCAGTCATAAAATGCCTTTGTTTTTTTGTCGTCTTTTTTTTTTTTTTTTTTTTTTTTTTCCTCCGCCACAAAATGGAAAAATTGCGCAATAGTACCCAGAGGTCATTGGGCCCTCAACACCATGACAACTAACTGTGATCCAATGAGGTGTTCACATGCTGATCACGCGTGTTATCCCTCAACACCATGACAACTAACTGTGATCCAATGAGGTGTTCACATGCTGATTACGCGTGTTATCTTGATGATGATTGACGTTGTCATGCACAGACAGGGCCTGGTCACATGACGAATCACGAGATTTTGCTTATAAAACTCTTTTGTAAGTTATTTTGTATTTCAACGTAATTAGATTGCGATTTCCTGGAGCATTCTGGCGCAAACGCTCAAAATATTTACAGACGCACATACAAGTCGTATTAATCGCGGCTAATCCACACTGAAAGATGTTATTGAGCGGTAATTTTGGAACGGATTGAGTCGCAAACGCTTGAAAGCCATGAAAGCCTTGAATGCCGTGTATGCTAAGTATGCCAAAGTCTTAGTTGAAAAACGTTCACTTGTTGTAAAAAGCAAAATCTGAAATCTGAAACCAAACTGTATATACTCTATGCAATCTATTGAACAACACTACTACCGTGAGACTGAAGAACATAACTATAATGATGCAAACTGCTTGTGAAGAAAGACGACATATTGGATTCACTTGATGGCAAGGAACGTAGCTACGATAACAGTACGAATGGTATTAATTTCACGATCAGAAAGGTGAATCTTATGTTTGTTTTCATTGTAATTGTATGGATATTCTTTTTTAATAAATACGTGATCCAAAACCCTGTGTTTTTTTGTGTATAATGTTATTATGTTAAACATTGTTTTAGGTATCCGTGGCTCCAATACAGTTTATTTTTGGTTACATTTATTCGCAAAACACACATTATCTACCACAAAATACCTGTGAGTGAGGTAATTCGACATTTTCGTTCTTTCCCACATTAATATTCTTCTCTCCTTTTGTCAGAATGTAGACATCACTCACAATGTTTCAAGTAATCCACCCACCCTACAAAAAAGTAACTCTTGCATGCATAGCATGCCTATGTTTTGAAATAGGTGTATGCTCTTGGCCAGACTTGAGCGCACTATTTCAGTATACTAGTCCGACACCCGTAGTATCACTACACTTAATTCCAAGGATCCAGTACCATCCAGGTATCCCCGTTACCCTGCTCACAGGGTCTAGTTAAATTTAAAGGGGCCTTTTGACGTGATTATATTCGATCATTATGAGTAAACAATTCGGAGAGATTCATTTACATCGCGTGATTTTCAATAGGACTTTAAAATATGCGGTCATCTGAGTCGGCAGAGGAAGTTGTTGTTACGCTTATGTGGGTGTGTGTGTGTGTGTCTTTTTTTTCTGCCACTATCCTCTTAGTTTTACATTTTCCTTTGTTACATCAACTAGTCTCTCATCAAACAAAAAGTTTACCGCGCTATCCTATCGGTGACAGTCACATCCCTCTAAGAATGACGAAAGTTTAGTTACCTAAGTTGTTTTTCTATCTCGGGAAACGTGAGGAATAGCAAAGTAGTAAGCATTTCTTTCACTATCACTACACTGAGAGTTAGATAGTTTTCTGTCATACGAGAGGTCACACGAGCAGTGAGAGTCATGGCAAATGGGGTTGTTGCGGCAAACGAACATCAAGGCTCGATGAAATACCAAGAAAATCGTGACCGGAGAAAAATGCCAACCAAATCCAGGGGATATATTACAGGGACATAACTTTAATCAATCTCGTAAACTGTAAACGAATTAAAAAAGGGACATATAATAGATTGTATTCAATTAAACACGTGGCGACTTAACAGCGTAAATGAATCTAACATAATAAAAGAACTAACAAATGAACCAAATGCTACGGCAAACACAAAATATATATACAAATAAGGACGAAAGAGCTTGCTCGAAACGAGATAAACAACAAAAAGGCGAAAACAACTTACATATCAGTCCCTATACGCCGGTGGCTTGAAATAACACTTTATAAATTAACTTTGTATGCACTCCGAACATGAACAGGCGATTAATGAAAGCGGGAGAGAAAAACTATTTAAAGGAATCAAATGGCACAAAGGCCAACTGTAACGCAAATATCACGCAAGTTCGAAAGTCATGCATTTACATGGCTCCTTGAAACACCAACGTGTTTCACTACAAATAGGCTAATTGGCTAAGGGGAAATAAACATTATAAAAAAATCTTAAGTGTTCATGCTTAAAACTGTCAAATGATCAGCAAAGTCAATGGCTCCTCGGCTGGGATTCACCCCGGGATTCGCTCTCATAGTCATCTTTAGACATCAACAGGACAAGCTTCTGAACTGGACGCTCCAGGAACTTCACTTCATTGACTCTCCTTCCTTTCTTATCAAGACAGGCGTCTGCTAGAGCTAACTTCACCGTGCGAACGCGTCCATCAGAACTTCGGTTGACTGCACAAACACGCGCCAGCTGCCAACGACTGCGGGGAGCGTTATCATCTTTAATGATAACGATGTCGTCCACACCCACATCTTTCCGGGACATTGTCCACTTCTGACGTTGTTGTAAGCTAAGCAGGTATTCTTTCCGCCATCGTGACCAGAACTCGTTGGCCAAATGTTGGACACGCCTCCAACGCTTTCTGCAGAACTTGTCGGCTGCCGGAAAAACTCCAGGTGGCGAGAGGACAACTTTCGTCTTCATAGTGAG